ACATGTTCGTGGGAGTTGTGGTGGAAAATTTTCATAAGTGCCGTCAACATCAGGAGGAAGAAGAAGCCAAGAGACGAGAGGAGAAGAGACTCCGTCGGCTGGAGAAAAAGAGAAGGAGTAAGGAGAAACAGATGGCTGGTCGGTAATCTTTCCACATCTTTTCGAGTCCTGCTTGACCTTTGACAGTCTTCCCACACCTTGCTGCCTAGTGCCTGAAGCTCAGGGCCCTCCCAAAAGCATGGCCAGCTCTAAAATTTGCATGAAGGATATAGCACTGGCATAGGCTGAGCAAAGCCATGGAAGTGTAGCAATGGCTGCATGATTTGCAACTAACATATGCTAGGTTATTTTTTAAAAGTTTTTCCCCCATTGCACAAGCTTACCATTATCCAAATAGTGTTAAATGCAAAGACCAGCAGTTCCAGAACAGGCCAAAAATCTTAGGCATGTCTTGCACTGTTGCTGATAAATACTTTCACTATTTGGTTTATTACAGCCTTGTAAGGTCACAGTCGGATTTCTTTTGTCAATTTCCAAGCCAATTTAATGAAATTTAACAATGTATTCAAGGATGTAATAATACAAAAGCCAGCCTTATTTTAGAAATGCTTGAAAACATAGTGTATTTGCTTGAGAAATACAGATTTTTTAAAAAAGAAAGAAAATAACCAGGCATAGAAAATAATCAAATGAAATTTTCGTCAATTTGGGATAAATATATTTGGTAGGCTTCTTAGAATAATATTTTATTCTTTTGTGATTATATTAGATTCGTGTGAAATTTGAGAAACTTGGCCTATCATCTTTTTAACCACAGTTTCTGTTTGACTGAAAAGTGTGAAATAAAACTCAGGTCAGAGGTCACAGGTCAGAGGTACTCTCCTCCATCTTGCATGTCTTCTATTCATCTTAATTTTTGCCAAATGCTCATGTCTTCATGGTATCACTCATTGCCTTCATTGTTGTGATTTTATTAATTTTTCCCATTTCTATTCTCACATTTTTATCTCCCCTTTTGAATCAGCACCTGTAAATTTGTAGGACTCTCTCTTTGTCATCATTGTTCATTATTGTTTATCAGCCCTAATAATAACAAATATTTTAGTGCTGTTTCCTTATATGACAATATCATAGATTTTAAAGAAAGCACAAATTATATTACTTAATTATACCACTATACTTAAGCAATTTTAAAGCTTGATGTCTTATATTTAAATGCTATTCACTTTAATGTGGGATTGTCAGATCAGAAGTTCACAAAAGTGAAAATCTGGCATTGTGGTTCCTTATTGAATTTTTTGGACCACAGATTGTCCAAATAAGAGCCGTGTACTTCGAGATTGTGGTGTTTTGGAGACACTTTTTAAAATATATCCAATTATTTTTTTCAAGACAGGTAAGCAAATATTTCAAAGAGAGCAAACATCATATGGGAAGGGTTACTCTTGTGTTTTAGGATGATTCCACATACTGCTCTTCTGTGCCAAATTTCACAGGGTTTTGTATATATGGTGCGTCTTATGATGTGTGTGTGTATAAAATTACTGATATTTTGAGAAGCACATTTACATCAGTGAGAAATATCTACAGAGCTGCATTGTATCTTTGAATGTGTTTTTAGAAATAACTGCAATTTATATTGTAAGGTGATTAGAAACACAACACACATAAACACAACACAACAAAGCCCCTTGGACTTTGGTGCTTAAAAGGTGCCTGTAAATGTAAGCACATAATCTCTGTATTAGAGCAGAGTTGTGACAAATGCATATTTTTCTATAAAACAGGCATCCTTGTAAATTAACACTGGGAACAGCCTACAAAGAGGATTTAAGAAAAGCCTTGTGCATTCTTCTGGGAAAGGGCTCCTTCTTAAAGGACTGTGAGCTCTTTCATGGTTGAAGTATGTGTATGAAACAATGAGCACCCCTGGAAGCTCATATAGAATTCTGGCCATAAGAAAGTTCATATTGGCATAGTAGCACTCTATAGCTGTGATCATATGCACAATTAGACCCAACTAAGGCGTGAATGCTGGATAGATTTAAACGAAGCGATCAGACAATAACATCTGGGAAGCACCCCACAGCCGTCGAAAACCCGTTCTGCTCTCCCGCAAAAGTGGAGTTAAAAGACACCGGGGGAAATCTTGTAGTAAATAGGTTGAGATGGGCCACAGATGGACTTTCCCCTGTCTGATTGCTCCAGTGCGCTCTCATGCCATCGGGATGGTCTGATCAGGCCATTCTGACTCCATGCCGTTGTTTTTTTCCCCATTCGCAGTATGCGCATCATCACAAACTCCATAAAGAGCCCTCAGTGGGGAGGTGCAGTTCATCAATTCCTTGTTTAAGCGCATGGGAAACTAACGGCATTAAAAAAAGACTCACCCACAGTTGCGTCTGATCGCACACTGGTGGGCTGCGCCCGCAGCTTCAAAGGGAGGTGCGATATCGCCACTGCAGGTCAAATTCCTCTGGAGGAAATAGCCTTGTTCCCCCCCCCCGGTTTTATCTGGCGCGTGTGACCGCACCCTGTGTGGGATAAGGATAGCATTGCTCTTCCCTATTCCATTCTCCTGCATATTTTAAATGCTTGCCCCACCCTCATCCTTTCTGCCTATTTTCCTTCACCTTTCTCCAATGATCTATAGCCTTGGGACTTAACTGGCTGCTCAGTATTGCACGTGTCATTCTATGGCCTGATGAACTCCCTTCCTGCCCCTCTTTCTTCTACAGAGGTAAATTACCTGTTCCTAGTCAGTTGTCCAGCCTTTCTTTGGATCCCTCTAGCTTTAGGTATTCTGTCTTTCCATCAGTCCTCCTCTTCCTCAGCAGCAGAAGCTTCTGTAAAAGCACCTTTCCTTTCCATCTGATGCTGCAGCAAAGATCTTATCCTGAGCACCTGCCTAATTGCACAGTGCAAAGGCCAACCCTAAATGTAAGAAATGAATAGGAATCATATTGACTTATATGTGATGTGTAGATGGTTTATGAAATTGTTACTCCATTCTACAGATGACAGTTTGCAATCCTAGTTGTGCTTCAGTGGCATAATAGCATCAGACACAATTAATATCACTTAAGAGCTAATGTGCTTATAGCACCGCAACATGCATTAATTAATCTAGCACGATAATGATTACTGTGAATAATGTTTTTACAGTTTCAGTAGAACAATAAAAAGTTGTCTAAAGTAACAGACAGCACCGGGTTTTTTGATCCAAGGTAGTTGTAACACCTTCAGCTTCATTCCTGAGTTTGAAAATGAATTCAAGTATTTTAGGATTTACTATATTCTGCTACAGGCTGGAAGGTCGGTAGTTCAGCAGTTCGAGACCTGAGTGTCACATGACGGAGTGAGCTCCCGTCTCTGGTTCCAGCTCCTGCCAACCTAGCAGTTCGAAAGCAAGAAATTGCAAGTAGATAAATAGGTACCGCTTCGGTGGGAAGGTAACAGCGTTCTGTGTGCCTCGACGTTTAGTCATGCTGGCCACATGACCACAAAAATATCTTTGGACAGTGCTGGTTCTTCGGCTTGGAAACGGTGATGAACACTGCAACCCTAGAGTCGGATCTGACTGGCCGGCCACATGACCACAAAAATATCTTCGGACAGCGCTGGTTCTTCAGCTTGGAAATGGAGATGAACACTGCAACCCTAGAGTTGGATCTGACTGGCTTTCGAGCAAGGGAAACCTTTTACTACAATACTATGAACATGAAATTAAGCAAACTCCGGAGCACGACAGAAGACAGGAGGGCCTGGCGTGATGTGGTCCATGGGGTCGCGAAGAGTCAGACTTGACTGTGCGAATGAACAACAACACTACAATACTATATGCATCATTCATAAACTTCTTGTGATCTCCACTTCTTGTGATCTCTGTAAAGGGCTATGACAGATTTGTTGAGGGCTTCATTGTTTCTTCCCTGACTGAAATGTATCCAAAACTCTTTCACTTCCCCTGGACAATTAATCATTCCTTGGACATTGATTTCATATTAGCTGTAGTGGTTGCTTTTTAAAATAGCCACTTGAGGAAGCTAATATTTCACTTTTCTTTGCAAGTTTTAAAAAATGGTTGATATACCTCCAGTAATCTTTCTTATAAAATCATACACAAGCCATCAAAGAAAATCACATAGTTTGCTTAACTCTCTATACAAAGAAGTCTCAGACTACTCAAAAGCATGGAAAGATATTTGTATTCAGTTCTCTAAATGTATATAGATAGAGGCAATAGCCAAATACTCTGTAGAAAAATGGGATATTATTGTAAAAGTAACTTCCGTATAGGCTTTACAGAACAAACAGACTCTCAGAAAATATTTTAGGAAATGGCTTTCCATAAAGTCACATTCAATTAAAATGTGTCCTATTGATTTCATGAACTCAAATTTGTAGCCCTTAACAAGTAGAAATACGCATTTCTTAGCTGCGAGTGCAGAAGCATTTGCAATGGCAACAGAGAGTTCATATGACCACTTTCCTATTAATCTCCACCTTACCATCTGCAGGCTGCAGCTGTGAAAAAACACCAATGTAGGTAGGAGGTTTGATAACCAACACTGTCCTGTCCACACAGTGGGCAATTCTGCATCTAGCATTCGCTCCACATTTTCTCAACTGGAAGGGGAAAGCGCAGCTCAAAACTACATTCAAATAACCTGGGCCAACACTATACTGACTGCAAAGTCACCCCTGAACGGCCATAAAACGGCCATAAATCTATGCAGAAGGTACCTTAAAATCTAATGATCAAAGGAAGCAAAAGCAGCACAGAATGTGTAGTCTACCATAAAATCTGATGATCAAAGGAAGTGAAAGCAACATGCAATGCAGAGGGGAATTTCTGTTCCAACATGGGTTTGTTAAAACAATCGAGGGAAAAGCCAATGCAAAAATAGCCAGTGTTCAAACCAGCTTGACTGCATTCTTTTTGGAAATACCTTAGCAAAGCAGGTCTGGGAAAAGATTGTAGCAAAGTAGGGGGAAATCCAGAAAGTGCACAAATGAATGATTGCCCCCCAAGATGGAAGAAAGAGTCAGACAACCAAGGTTGGATGAAACTAAGGCCACTTTATTTAACATATTGAAAGTAACGGAAAGGGCAA